GAGAAAATTCCAAATGATCTTCTGGGTTGATTAACCAGACTTTCAAATGGAGTGTCAGAGTGTGCAGTAAGGACAGAATTCTGAGGGAAGCTAAGTTTATCCAAAAGAACCTTATTATTTAAAACTTTTAACTTGGGAATCTCTGGCTGCCTAAATATAAGATAGCACACATCTTACCTTGGATATGTTATAAACCTGTTTCAATTTTTGCATTACAATCTCCACATACAAAGAAAAGGTCCATTTTTTGATATTTTATTCATAAGATCCCTCAAGGTGTCATTGAAATTCTTGCTATCTTTCATCAGGCAGATCCACTGTTTAAAAGTACACCTGTGTGCTTGATGAAATGGTTTTCCTCCGAGAGTAATGGCAACAATTCTGATATTAATTGGGTCCCAAGTAATTATCAGGTTCCTATATTTATTTCATGGATTTTTTTTTTTTGCCTTCTATTGATTTCCTTATCAAATACAGCAATTTGTCTAAGCCCAAAATGTATGATAGCCTCTGCTACACAGAGTTTTAACTTCTTATTGAGAGCTTTTAAAATGATAATTATATACCTATCCTTTTGTCTCTTTGGAATTGTTAATATTCAGCGTACAAATTTAACAACGTGCTGCTTACAAAGGGTTACTTTTTGCAGATACCTTCCTAGGAAAACAGGACTTGATTTATATTCACCATGCATACAGAACACACACATACACACACACACACATACACACACACACACACACACACACACACACACACACACACCAATTCTGTTTCTTTGTTTGCTTTTTAATTCTTGGTTTCACTCCATTGATTCCATGCCAAACTAATGGGGTGGAAAACCAGGACCATAGCTCTTGAAATAATTATCCTTTGGGCTATAAATATTTTCCTCAAATAATATTAAAAATGCAAAGTCACTGTATATCATCAGATGCAATTAGCAGTGTACACACTATCCCACCGCATCGCTCTTGAAAGAAGCTAGAGGAAGGATCACTTATGTAGAATGTGGAAGTTCATTTATAGTATCAGCTTTCTAAGGGAACTATTGCAGTTTTCCCAAACTCTCCTACTATGTATTGGATACCTTCTCAGTATCCTTAGATGGTGTGTAGACTATGGGAACTGTAGTTTAATATACTATAACTGAAAACCATTGGGAAAAGGGGAATAGCTTGAATTCTGGAGGCTGGGCTTTGACTCTGTTTATAAATTGCACACGTAAAGTTACTTTTGAAACTAAAGTACACTTTGGATTACCTTGCACTTATGTATCACACATGTATAGGGTGAACAAATGAAAGTAATGGCATAACGTAGAATGGGTTGCTATGGTTTCCTGCTGTTGGGTGTTTGGTCTTCAACTGAGTTTCTTTCTGAACAGTTTTTAAAAGCACTGACAGCCAGTCTCACAACTTTAAGTTATAGTTTCTTGAAGTCTATTCCTGGCTCCTAATATGGATAAGTTTCATTTTCTAGAGGAAACACTTAGTCCTTCATACAATTTTCTTCTGTATGTCTGTGCTACACAGAGATAGTATTTTCTACAAGGTGACCTGTAAGAGACCTGACACAATTAAGGCTTTTACATTGGAATGCCAGCAAAAATCATGTTTTTAGCTGACTAGAACATTTTATTGGTTAAATATGATCAGATAGTTGTTTTTATTTTTGCATTCTTTTTTATTATGCTGTGTAGGGCATATTTCATCATATTTTTATAAAATATCTTGGTTACACAAAGAGGAAAGACAGCTTAAAAATATATTTAACACTAATGAACAATAGTTAAGTCCCTAATACCTAAACTGCTTTCTCTGACAAGATGTGCACATTTCTTATCTTGATTCTACCTTGACCTTTTAAAATCTGAACAGGTACTGACTAAATCTATGGTTTGATTGTAGATCTACTGTAGCAAATATTCAGCAGAAGCTCAACCTTCACCTTTCCCCAAAGTCTGAGAGAATGACCAGATCTTTAATAACTTCCTGAATATAAATAGGTGGGAGCTGCCCAGATCTCTAGGGTGACATCATTTCATAGGGCAGGTGCCAAGGCACATTTCTTGGGTCAACTGGTTGCCCCTGCTTGATTAATGGGATCCCTTCTGCTTGATTTTACCAGATAGTCAAAAACAACTCAGTTGTTGAGTCCTATGCCAGGAAGGGGTTTATTAGTGATAAAAAGGATCTTGAATTGAACTCAGAAACCAGCCAGTTACCAGTCTAACTTACAAGACATTGGTCTCAAATTCCAGGAACCCTGGTGGCTTGGAGTTTAGAAGGCAGTATTGCAGGCTAATTCTGCCTGCAGTCTGGAATTTGATCCTGATGGACTCAAAGTTGATTCAGCCTTTCATTCTTCTGAGGTCAGTAAAATGAAGATTCAGATTGTTGGAGCGATATACTGACATTTGTAAACCATTCGGAGTGTTGGAAAGCACCATGGAATGGTATATAATTTTAAGTTCTATTGCTATTGCTATAATGAGGCATTGCATTCTGGACAGATATAGCTTTCACAAAATCTTCAGGTGCAGTCCCATATAAAGTCAATTACAGTAATCTATTTGTCAGGTGAGTGAGACGTGACTTTCTGAACCACCTGTGATGGTTGCTTATGTGTAACGTTTCTCCAGTAACTTTCCCAGCCTCCTCAAAATGCCTCATATCAGTCAGTACTTTCTGTTGCATCTTCCCACACTTACTATCAATAAAATCTTCCTACTATCCACCTATAATCTTCCATATCTTCTTAACACACTCCTCTCTATCTATAACACAGCAAATAAAGCTATATTCTCTGTGTTCTCACACCGTGGCTCCTACTAAAGTGACAGTTTGCCATTTTGCAAAGTGTCATGTTGATAATGGGTCATTAAAAAGTCCATTTATCCCAAAATAAAGACGGAGGTTTCTTCCCATGACCTCCTCTAGTCTCTTGGTATGCCTTCTCTCACCTTTCTACCTTTGACTTCCTTTATGAACAGTACAAGCACTGGGATGAAGTCATTCACAATTTATTATTTTTTTTCTAAAACCATCTATGGAACTAGTTCCAACAGAGGAAACTGACAGATGTTATTGTAGGTAAAAATAATATTAGAGACTGGCAAGTATGCCAATTTCATTGTATCCCCATTTTCTTTTAATTGATTGAATGAATGAATTATTGACTGAGTATATATACAGTGCATTCAGAAAGTATTCAGACCTTCTTCACTTTTGTCAATTTTGTTATGTTGCAGCCTAATTATGCAGTTGTTGAAATTCATTTTTTTCTCATTAATCTATGCTCAGTACTCCATGATGACAGACTGAAAACAGAATTCTATAAATGTCTGTAAATTGATTAAAAAGAAAAAACTGAAATATTATCTTGTCTTAAGTATTCAGACCCTTTACAATAATATGTGAAATTCAGCCTCCCATTTCTCTTGATCATTGCTAGCATGTTTCTACACTTTGATTGGAGTCCACCATGAGGTCAAAGGAACTGCCCTGCAGAGCTCAGAAACAGGATTATTGCAAGGTTCAGATCTGGGAAGACTAGAATAAAATTTCTGCTGCACAGACCACAGTGGCCTTCATAATTCTGAAATGGAAGATGTTTGGCACAATCAGGACTCTTCCAAGAGCTGGTCACCCAGACAAACTGAGCAATCAGGGGAGAAGGACCTTAGTAAGAGAGATGACCAAGAACCCAATGGTCACTGACTGAGCTCCAGAGATCCTGTGTGGAGATGGGACAGAGTTCCAGAAGGACAACCATCACTGCAGACCTCCACTGATCTGGGATTTATGGCAGAGTGGCTAGACGGAAGCCTTTCCTCAGTGCAAAACATGAAAGCATGCTTGGATTTTGCAAAAAACAAAAACACCTGAAGGACTCTCAGACTGTGAGGAACAAGATTCTCTGGTCTGATGAAACCAAGATTGAACTGTTTGACCTCAATTCTAAATGTTATGTCTGGAGGAAACCAGATACCACTCATCACCTGCCCAAAACCATCCGAACAGTGAAGCATAGTGGTGGCAGCATCATGCTGAAGTGGTGTTCAGCAGCAGAGATTGGAAACTGGTCCGGATTGAGGGAAAGCTGAATGGAGCAAAGTAGAGGGATATCCTTAATGAACACCTGCTCCACAGTGCCCAGGACCTGAGTAGAGAACCTTGTGGGCAACAAAGAAGGCATTCATGAGTACCCACCATATGTTTACAACCCAAAGTACATAGATAAACATCTTTTTTGAGTTAGGATACCACAGAATTTTAACATCAGAAATTGGTATGAGATTTATCTGCCCTGGAAATAAATGGAATTAGCTCTAAGACTAATGGTGTGTGAGTAGATGAAACAGACTTTTGGCCAGAAAAGCATCAGGTGCCTACTTGTTATGATATTTGATTTCTTTAGAAGCGTTTGATAAAATGCTTCCATTGTTCCTTTTCTCATAGATATGCAATCTGTTTTAAAGGAAGTGTACACATCTGGAAGAGTGAAAGAAAGAAGATACAATTATTTTTTAGATTGTGTTTAGGGAAAAAAAAATTCATGTGATTCCTCTTTTTCACTGACACTGCCAGGTTCTGTGAGTGTGTTTTTCCCCCACTGGTTGTAAATCCTTAACCTGACATCCATTTATTACTAACTGGCAATTGCTCAGACTCTGAGCCTAGAGTGATTAGGTTTTTTTTTTTTTTACATGCCAATAATGCAGATGTAACAAATCTGTTCTGAATTTCTTACTTACACGATCCTTTGTAGTGGGTAGAATATAACAGGTAAGATATACATTGCTGGTATTTTTGATAAAACCAGGTACACATCTATATAACTTCTCATTAGCAATTTTCTAGCAGAAAGGTAATTAAAATAAATCTAGGTTTTTAGAGCTCACTTTTATTGTTGCTATGTTTAGTGAACTAAATTGTAAAGTCAGGAATCCTCCATATCAAATTACTTGTTCATAAATATTTTGTTTCATTTTTTAGAACCTCCACAAGAGGACCCACTTTATGGGAGGGCCCATTCATGACCTCTCAAAGTTCCAATCTACCCAAAAGAATTACTTAATAACCCAATGGAGTACAGACTTTAATGCAAACATTGTCTTCCAGGATCCTTAATTAATTGTGCTTCCTTTCAAGGTGAGGACTTCTGTTTTTCTATATTTTAAATGATCCCAGTGTATATTGTTATTGGGATGTGCAAGTTAGAGACAAAATGTCTCTAGCTTACACAATGTATAGCACTTGAAAATATTTTCTTTGGTAACAGTGTTTTGTACCTTCCTCCCCAGCCACGGATGACTTAATTAACCTTTCTGTAGAGGTGGCAGTTAAAAAATACATCTACATCTCTTCTCTAGTCATCATATGCTTAAACTGCAAATTCATCTGAATTGTAACCTAGTGTCTTACGGCTCTTGGTTCTACCTTTTCCTATAGATCTTCTTTCTTCAAATGTGTCAAAGTTGTAATACAAGGTTGCTACCAAAAAGGTGGAAGTACATTCAATCATAGAACAAAAACCAGAGGAACAAATTACATTCAAACAAAAGACATCAGAACAAAAATAAAATTCTATTTTTCATTCACAGTTTTGGGCACAGATTACATTTGAGAGAATCCCGAGTATTTGAGATTTGAGCCACTATACTGGCTATTGGAAACAATTAATACCTCTATTTTCCAAAGTATTCTTCCATTTGGAATAGGATTATTTTGAAGGCCACTGATCTTAACAGACCGAAGAAGGTTTCTGTGCCACAAATAAATAGGAACCGAGCCCAGGCGTGAAGTATGCAGTAGTATGCAATAGTTTCTTGAAGTTTATTCTGTTTCAGAAACAATTATCTATATTAAACACTACTACTAGTAGTAGTAGTTGTGAACATATTAAAGTCTTAAACCTGTTTTCCTTTCACAAACTCCCACTTTTCTTCCCAAAGGTGCTTTTCAAAGGCAATTGAATTATTTTTTGTTTTTCCTTGAAGACGTTTCACTGCTCATTCAAGAAGCTACTTCAGTTCTTTGCTTCTTGGATGAGAAGTGAAATGCTTTCAAGGGGAAAAAAAAAAAAACATTTGCCTTTTGAAAAAGCACCTTTGGGACAACATGACCTAGATGACTGAGAATCTCCATAGCCACACTTTTGTTTGTGAACCTTCAGTTTGATCTGGTTGTGTCCATGACCCAAACATTAATTAAAGTGCCTTTCAATAGTTTTATACTTTCTAGTATAGCAATTTCTAGTTTTCTTGACAAATGGCTTTAGAGTTTATAATTGAAAATGGACTCACCGTGCACATAATTTCAATAAACTAACAAAACTTCTTAAAATATATTGCAATACAGACACATCTTCTGGAATAACTAAATAATAGTTTATATAGTTAATAAATAACTAAATAAAAGGGGGCAGAGGTTTGACTATGCAATTGTGGCAATCATCTTGCCACTTTTCACATTTCTTGTAACCACCAATACAGTACCTCTCTGCTATTTGTTAAGTAAAATTCTCTTTTATTTATTATTTGATTGAATTTTAGCTCTGCCAAACTGCAAAATGATTTTGGCCACTCACATTATAAAAATAACAAAATTAAAATACAATAATATAAATTTGAATACAACCTAGAAAATAATCAAAGTTCAGCAACTATGAAAACATATGTAATATATGTCAAACACATCTAAGAATGGATTCCATCCACCCTACCCCAAGACCTGAGTGAGCATCCAGGCCTTTAAGGTCTTCCAGAACATGATCAGGATGGGAGTCATGTAGCATTCAGGGCGGGAGAGGGGAAAAGGTAGGTGGTAGATCTCATTTCAGAAGATCAGCATTGCAAAAGAGTAGGCATGCTTTCTGGTCCTGAAAGATGATGCTGTTTAACTGAAGAAATCCAGATCACATCCACTCTATTAGCTGTATTTGACAATCAGAAACATGAGAGGTAAGCAATCCTTCAAATAACTGAGTCCTACGCCATGGAGGGCCTTATTTCCATCACATCTAGAAATACAACTTGCTTCAGTACATCTCTTAATGCAGACTCTGAACTGATTTGCAGTATGTACATTTTTTTTCCTTTTAATGACCCTGTAATCCCTTGTATCGAGCTGGAGTCAGGGTGACTGAATGGAGTTGGAGCATTTACTGGCTGGATGCCCTTCCTGACACCTATGCAGAATTCACAGGAGACAATAACTCTTTTTGCCCATCTGCAGTATATATACAAATATTGTAGTTCAAATTCTACCAAAGGCTTGGGGCATCTGAAAAGTTGGCAAGCACCACAGAGTTAGTGGCACCCTCAGGTGACCAACTCTCTTATCTGAGAAAATGTAACAGGTCTGAGTTTATAGAAGGGAGTGACATACAATGGGGAGAAGAGAAGTATTCTTATCTGTCCTTTTACAATTCAGCTTGAATCATCTGCAATCCCATTCTCTGAAGGTTGTGGTTGTCATTCAGGAACTAGTCAATTGTTGTCTCACGGTGTTCTTAGCCTAATCATTTTGGATCCATGTTAATTTGCTTTGTTTGTTAGTGAAATACAATTAAATTCAGAAATATCTATTACTGGATTGGCTATCATTGCTCTTTTCCGTGATCATATAAGACAGCTTTCATCAGTCCTCATTAGTGTGGCACACTCTCCCTATATGCTGGCAAAGTGCCATATTGGGGAAAGCTGAAAGAACATTGCTAAATCTAACGGAGATTAGGGTTATTCCACATTCAGTTCATGTTTCCATTCCAATAATGTCCTAGCAGTTCTGTTTCCACAAATAAATTCCAGACTATTTGCTGGTTTAATCTCTACCCCCCCCCACCTGTTATTAATGCAGATCTAGGTAAGATTTATTTCTTGGCAAACTCCCTTTTCTTTCCAAATTACGCCCATTCTTCAGTGGTTTACAGCAGATAAAACCTTTACCACTTCACTCTTCAGAAGCTCTTTGTGATTTCTAATTAAATTCTTTGTCGGAACACAAAATAATTAATACGTAAAAAATGAAGTGCGGGGAAAGAATCTACTGTGAAACTAGTCTCTCAGTTGTATATTTAAACAATATTTAATCATTAGAGTAACACAGTGATTGCACTTTTGGAAAGAAAACAAGCCTGGCACTTCATGTTTATTTAACACTTGGACTAGTTAGTTCTTGGAGGTATGAAATGAAGCTTATAGAGTGCTGCTGCAGTAAATCATACATTCTGGAGAATCACTAGGTCTTTAAACAGAAGTGTCATTTTAAGCAGAAACAGTTCATTGGGGCCCTGGCATATAAAATTGATGTCTTATAACCTTGAGTGTTTAGACTGAAAGACAAGGAGAGGAAATAAAAACAAGACTTAAAAATGTAACCAGGAGGATGTCATTTTTTTTGTATGTTTAAGCTAAATACAGATGTATGTGTTAATTTTTATATATCCATGTCCTGAAAACCTAATAGGAGATGAGAATAGGTTAGCAGACTAAGTGGGAAGATATGATTTTATATTTATTTATTCTTGCCTTTTTTTAATTACACAGTTTGATTTGGTTTCTTTCCATTCCATAGAAATCTAAATATTTTAAGTTCAGAAATGAAAAAGGGGTTGGGAGGAGGGGGTGGCTCTGCAGTGCTAGGTTGTACACATTATCATTTCAAAGCCCCACATACACAAAGGGATGTTGTGTTGAGGAGAAGTTAGGTGGCATTTTAATTAAAAGCACTGCATATGCTCAGGAATATAATCTTGCAACATTATGCATTTATATTTATGATAATGCACCCTACTTAGAACAGCCTGTTTCTCTTCTTTTCTTTCTTCGGGTTGGCATATTTGCTTTTACTATTTCATCTTTCCCTGAAGAAGAATGTACACCCTTTTTGCATTTTATTCTAGTATTATTATTTCTAGTTATTTCTAGTAGGCAAAGAGATTTTTGCTAGTCTCGAAAAAAATGCTATGAGGGAGTCACTATAATTCCCATTTTATGTATAAGGAAGTGAAACAAAATGAGATTCTAAAAGGTAAGTCAGGCCCTAGAAACTGAGGGGGCTTTTAAGCAGAATTGATTTCAACTGAATGCCCATAAGAGACTTAAGAACAAATCAGAAAGTTCCTGGTTTAGTATTGCTTCTGCTGTACCTTAAGAAAACTTCTGTCCCCAGCCTTCCATCTCTTCCCTCTGACCATCCTGACATTCATGACTCGGCAGCAGGATTATTCACCAAGATAATGTCATGGTTCCGATACATGAGACCAGTAAAAGCAAAACTCCAAGGCAAGAGGTTTCCTTAAAGAACATATTTATTGGCTGCATAGTATTGGTACAATCAAAAGTGAAACCAAGATTGAAGTTCCCTCCCAAAGGTTACAATGTTACAAAGTTGAATTTCCTACCCCAGCAATAAATCATAAATCACATTCCCCAATAATCTACTTTGGAGGGCTTTCTAATGGAAATTTCAGCCTATCAAAACCCAGGCAGCAATGGCCTTGGTTCCCACAGGACAATTTTTGTTTGTCTAAACTTAAAAGCACACATCCACCCTCCCAATTCTGTGACAACTGAATACGAAGTGGAAATGGCTTCAGCCAAATTCGTTTGCAGCATTGACAGATAATGTACATGATGAACTCTGAAAGCACTATGCAACTAGTTAGCTTTGATTGCCCTCATTGTTAATATTAATATTAATTGTCTGTTGGTAGCAATAAGGCCTAAACGATATAGCTCCTCCTCAACGAAACTATTATTAAAATCACCTGCCATGCAAAGCTTTGCACTAATATTGGAAAACTGAGATTGCATGGAAATTTTAGTCTTTTTCTACAGCCTAGTAGCCTTCAGTTAGACTCCCCATCTCCCTAGCTTTTGAAGGACCAAGATTAGGTTCTCCTGTGGATTTGAAAGAATACGGAATAGACTGAAGCTATGAAAGAACTCTTTGAACTTCTGAAAGGATGTGACTCAGAGGGCTATCAAAGGCTATTTCTTTTTAATTCTTATGAAAAGATAGGACATCTTTGGCTTAAGGTTATCACTGCCTAAATTATTTGTTTCTATGGACCTACTGCTGGTAGATCTAAAGTTATAAAATGGCATCATTTCTTTTTCCAGATCATATATTTGTTCTAAAAAATGACCAACATAATGGACTTATAGCCTTTGAAGCAGGATAAATGATCATGACCAATTATCTTTATTACAATAGAGTTCATTGTTCTGATCTCTAGTCCTTGGAAGTATCATCTGTACTTTCTCCTTGGAGAATTCTGTATTATGTATTTATAGTTATAAACCATAATAATCAACAACAAAGTGAACATTTTCTAAGGAATTTAGAAAAAGAATCTTCTGATTAAGAAGATTCACAAATAGTTTCAGATAACTGAACAATTTTAAGGATAGCAGACGCAGGAGTGTTTTCTGTCGTGCAAAGAAACAGCTTACTGCAATTAGACATAGCTTCATTCAACATTCCTTTTGTTTAGATAGTAAATATAAACAAACCCAATTATGTATGATAGCTACTTATACATATACATTCACAAATGTACAGTATTTCATATCAGCACTAGTTGAAATACAAAATAAGCAATGAAAAGAGTGTAAGAATAGAATGGGAGTATGACATTGCAGACAATGTGACACACAAACACACACACACACACATTCTGTGTGTATGCACACATACACATATACATACACACATATACACACAGAGCATACAAACCCATATACAGTAGAATTCAGGCACTGAAGCATTTTTCATTCAGCCAACATGTTTGCCATTTTTGGTTTGGTGTCAGGCTGTTAATCCAACATGTTTCATGAGTAATAACTCCAGTCATATTAAAAGGGAAATGTATATTTTTATCATTTCCTACACTTTCCTCTTACAGACATTTTTCTCTCTTTCCTCCAAGGTGTATGAAATGAACCTGACAAGAGATTGAAGATCGTTGATAAATGGGCTTTACATAATCAATTCTAACTGTCCATATTTGAAGTTGACAAGAAATTATCCCCCCTCCCATTAAAAAAAAGTTAGCAACATACTTTTCATTGTTGGTCTTTTCTCTTGGGGCTGCCTGGAACCCCTCTTGATCTTTCTTAGTAAAGTTTCTCTTTGTCTTTTGGCGGAGTTAATCATGGTCTTTTACAGACTTATCTTACCTTGAAGTTGGCTGAACTAGAACACTTTGCAGGGGGCTAGGGGCTAGGGGACTAGGGGATCAGTTTGCATAACTTTGCGCAAGTTTAGAAGATTGTGAAAAGCTTATAAATCCATCTATTCTGCTCCTTGCTATTCTGTTCTATTTTCTGTTTCATTTATTATTGCGATGAATATACCAGCTCACTATACTCGTTGTGGGGAAAATAGGAGAAAAATAGAGTATTAGATATTTTTGCTGCTTGAATTATTTATAAAAAATTATTAAAAAGATGGGTAACAAACAAACAAACAAACAAACAATTCTCCATCTTGTAATTGAAGGCTCCATTTCCCCATTAGTCTGTGGGTGATGAGAGGTCTCTAAGAACTGTATAAAATCCTGCCAAAATCCAGGCAACCCTTAAAGAATTTGGGACTGAAATACATTGGCTCCTTCCCCATCATTAGAGTCATCTACCTAGTGATGGTGGAATTAAAGCTACCAAAAAGCCTTAGATATGTCCATCCTGTTTTACACTGTAGCCTTTTAAAACCTGCAAGCACATCATCCCTGCATCCCCCAATAAAGCCAGCACCAGCCCTGATCCTCATAGAAGGAGAACAACATTTTGAGGTCAAGGAAATTCTTGATTCACAGACCCACAGAGGCAAACTCCAATACTTAATCCTCTGGAAACATCTCCCACCTTCTGAAACTGTGTGGGTTGACGTCCAACATAGGCAGTCCCATGCCTACTTTGTAAATTCCGTAACCAATATTCTGATAAACCCCACTGAAATAGTAACATGTCTTTTACATATTTTCTCTTGCTAGGTTTAGCCCCTTTTCAAGGAGGCAGAATGTCAGAACTGCCATCCTGCGCTTCAGCCTTGCTTTGCTACATTCCAGCCTGCCATAAACTATGGGGAGAGGAAGCTGCTGGGAAGGGGAAACTGAAACTATACATCATGCCTTCCTGAGACATAGGCTCATTGTCCAAGGCCAGAGGCTAGCAGGGGAAATGCAACTGCTCACCATCTAGCCCACTGATACAGTGAACATTACCAAAAACAAATCCTTTGAATGTAACTGGATAATAGGGAGATAACAGGGGAAAGCAATGGAAAAGGGAACTTTTGCATACAAATTTTTGGTTCTGGCTTTGCTATACTATAATCACTTGGTTTTTAGGAAAAGTATATTTCCACTATGAATGGAATTGAGACTTTTTCTTTCCTAGAAGACAATATGGTTTCAAATTTGCATTTAGTTTTCTACAATCGCCAAGTGTTCCTGAAATATATATAAACAATATTTAATTCAGATTGTTAATCATATGCAGACATTAACATGTCATCAATGTAAAAGAATTTAAACCAGAATTATTTTAAAGGCAGATCTAGAATTATCATGAACAATCTCTTAATTACGATCAATAAAACAATCTACCCTTGAAAAATATTGTAAAACTTACATTTTATAAGGTTATTTAAAAATTGCTGCGAGACCATGACTTTTCTTTTTATGAAACACATCCTTTCCTAAAATGAAAAATAATTGGATTGCACTTATTAGAAGATTTTTAGTAAAATCTTTCCAAGTTTTTGATTTCTCAGACAATAGCTAATCAGGAGAAAGCATTTAATGCTCTGGCATAAAAATGAGGGCCACGTGTGTTCAGTTAGAACTTTTTTGAAGACCAAGAAAGAATGAGACAGAGAAATCAATATTTTTCCTTAAGAACTCCAACTGAAGCCAGGAATGGAGAGAAGATCAACACCAAAAATCATTCCTTTGAACTTACATTTCTTTAGCCAAATAGAAATTAATTTCTCTGAATAAAACTGTATTACATACATATGCAGACATGATGCCCCACTGATATCATCACCTACATGCAGATGATTTATTTCCACACTTCCACAACTTATTTCTCTACCCTGATCTCTTTTGTATTGTTCTAGCATCAGTTTTCTCTCTGGGCCGCTTTCTCTCCTTTTCTGATCCATTCTTGTTCCTCTTTGTTCCTGTCCCCTGGCCACACCCAAGCCATTTTCTACTTCCATCACTGCTTTCTGCATCCAGACTAAAGCACACAGGCAGAGATTAGATACCATCAGTCTTTCTCTCTCCACTCCAAGCAAGGCACAAGCCAAGAGGGAACCAGGCAAATGTAAAGGCTTAGAGGAAGCAGCTACAGGAGAAGCACAAGCCAGGACAATCAATTAATTTGGACAGTTGCTCCATAAAGTGCAGGCAAAAGGATACTATATCTAGCTGGCACATGATACAACATCTTTGCGGGTGTCAGGGTTGTGTTCACTTTAAATAACATTCTGCTTGTTAGTTGCTCACACCTCTTGGTTGCTCACACCTCTCTTGGAGATGGCTGATATGGAAATAAGGTATGTTCTTAACTGAATAAATATTAGGCTGCGCATGTGAGCAAATTTGATGTAGTGGTTAAGGCACCTGGAGAGAAACTGGGTGCCATCTACTTCTACCTTAGGCACAAAAGCAGTTGGGTGATCTTGGGCTAGTCACTTACTCTCAGCCCTAAGAAGGAGAAACCACTTCTGAAATCTTGCCAAGAAAACTGCAAGCACTTATCCAGACAGTTGCTAGGAATCAAAATTGACTTGGAAGTACACACACAGAGAGAGAGAAAGAGAGAGAGAGAGAGAGAGAGAGAGAGAGAGAGAGAGAGAGACAGAGACAGAGACAGAGACAGAGACAGGGGGGCAGAGACAGAGAGAGAGAGAGAGAGAGCTTAGCTCTTACTGAGTGTCTTCTATTTTTGTTAAGCAATTGCCTTGTATCATTCATGCAAGAGGCAAAAGACAGACATACCCATGAGTCAAGGTAGATTAAAAAACAGCGAAGAAGATAACAAGTAGGTGAATGCATAGATTATGATGTATTACAAACTGAAATATGAAAATGCTCTTGGTCATTGCTAAAAAATGATTTTATTGATTCATGCCTCCACCTCATGAATCCAATGAAATGGAGTGCAGAGTTCACATTTTCATTTTTTCAGTCTGAAAAAAATGTTTGTTACTCTGATGAATGAATTGTTGAGATGCGTTCCAATTATTAATCTTTGATAACATGACCCTTCAATTAACTGCAATAATTGCACTGTGGACTATTGAGTACCTGTACTATTAATAAACAGCATAGGGTTAATATTGGTTCATTTCATTTTATTGTTCGTGAATGACTCTCTACTTAATTATACAAAATCGTGTGGCATTCTCTTTTGATTAATGTGTAAAGTTGGGACAGATTTTGTTCAGCAAATATTTATTATGTGCAAGGCATTATTAATTGCTTAAGCATTTTCTTCAGTTTCCGTTCTATGTCAAGTATTTTGGTTATGAAATCTCTATATAAGACAGTTTCACATATGCTTAATGGCAGGATTGAAGCTCTGGAACTGCAAAATTGTAAAAGATGCAGAGTGTCTACTTTGCTTATGTAATATGCTAATGATCCTCAGGCAATAGAGATATTTAATTCAATTTCATAATTTCTGGATTTCAGATAATGTGTATCCCTAGTCAATAAGTAACCCTTTTTAAAAAATGGTAATTTTATTAACTATTATAATTAAACAATAAAAACTAATACAAACTAAAAAAGAAAATGTGCAGAAAAGAAGGAAAAAAGAGAGTAAAAATCTAAAGAGAAATAAAAAAGAAATGAGAATTTAGTAAAGCAAAAGAAAAGACATATATTAAGAAATTACTTCATCCTTCCTCACAAGTATAATTTTTTTTTACTAACTTACCATGGTTCCCTGAAAATAAGACCCATTCTTTTTTTTTTTTGCCTTGGGGGGGGGTGTTGTCTTTTCCACTCACCTCTGGTGCCCAGCCGGTCCACTTCTTCTGCAGCTGAAGGAACAGCTTCATTCTGCAGCTAAAAAGGGAGCTCCAGCCTGCATTTCACTGTCAAAGGTCTTCCTGGAAGGCCACTGCTGCCGAGAACCGAGCTATAGATTCAATCCATAGCTCAGTTTTTGGCTACCGTGGCCTTCCAGAAAGGCCTCTGACTGTGAAATGCAGGCCTGGGGATACTGCAGAAGAAGTGGGCCAGTGAGGAGAGGTATGGCTGTAAAGTAAGTGGATGTGGGGTACGTGGGGCAGCTCCATATCCCTACCAACACCCTAGCTTGATTTTTAGGTGTGCGCCTTGCCCCCAAACTAGAGCTTATTTGGGGGGGGGTAGGGCTTATATTAGGTTCATTCCCAAAAATCAAGTTAGGGCTTATTTTTAGGGTAGGTCTTACTTTTGGGGAAACATAGTATCACCTCTTAAAATACAACAAATGATGTCTTCTTCCCATACCCATCTTTTGGCCTTAAACAAATTCATACAACTATACTTCCTTGACCTCATATCAGAAAAAGTGCATTAAGGGTTACGAGAGATAAAAGTGAATATATTTTAATTCTGATCAAATAAGGCAACTTTATATTCCTTTCTTTTACTTCTAAAAATCTTGATCTTTAGTCCCATAAAATAGTACTGTAGAACTTGATTTCTTTTCATTTTTCATGTGCCCTTTTTCACAAAATTCTTCAACAAGCTAAATTTATGAATTAACAAGCTTCTTTTATAAATTCAGTGTAGGAAAATTATCCAAATCACTCTCTTGCTTTGTTATTAATATATTGCTTTTAATTATTAAGACATTAGATGATTTCTTTTCTATGTCCAATACAGCATATTTTTATGTCATTCTTGTAGCTTTTACATCCAGTTTCTAAATCAGTTTTGACCTTGTTAGTTAAAACTTGCTCCTCTTCCATAGCATTTTTAAAACCTATCTATCTATAGAGGTACAAACTATTAAAACTAACTTATATGACATTGCTCAAAAATATCC